TCGTTATCCGCTCTCGCTATAATCTCTCTCATTATTGTTATAAGACCTTCACGTTTACTATCTAGCTCCTCCTTTGACCATGTGCTGCTTGGCGGTGGACTATATGCATTTATCATCATTAGTTTATCATCCTCATAGCAGATCTCTAGTGCTATTATGTCAACTTCTTGTGGATTGGCAGTCATTATTTCCTTCACCTTTAGGTGTTCTTTTACCAGCACAGCAACGCCACCGCCTTTCCTAATTTTTCTGTCCCGTCTCCAAATTGAGTAGCCCCTTGGGAATATGACCTCATTTAAAATTACATCTTCAAGTTTTGTCTCCGTGAGTGCAACAATGTCTGGTGTCTGCAGCTGTATTACATCACTTAACTCCAGTATCTTCGATCTCACTCCATCTATGTTGGTGTATGCAATCTTCAGGAACTTGTTCCCCCTCTCCTTATTCTTCACTCCCCCTCTCTCTATTGATTTTGTTGGTTTGCCTTTATGTACCACTTTACTGGTTTGCCTACCCCTATCACTTTGTAGAAAAAAGAATTTATTTCTTCTTCATTCCTGCTCTCATTTAAATGTTTTGCCTCGGCGAGGTTCAGTTTCAGCTTCTCTCTATCTTCTTTTGAAAGATCTCGTCTTAACGACCACCCTTTCCCATCCTCATCCCTTGTGTGTGTGTGTGTGTGTGTGTGTGTGTGTGTGTGTGTGTGTGTGTGTGTGTGTGTGTGTGTGTGTGTGTGTGTGTGTGCGCGCGCATGCATTTGCATACTTGTGCCATGTTTCCATTACCATTCATTTTGAGTTTCTGCATGAAAAAGACTCCTGTTATTTGAGTTTTCTCTCGCATCTGGTGAATACACTTATAGTATCGGTCTGAGTGGCTATACCAGTTTCCCTTGCATCTGGTTACTTTCCTGTGGAGACCATTACTGAATACTCTTATTATTCACTATGATTATCTTGGTTTAGTTCAAGGATGTCCCTGCCCTATAAGAGTTCCATCCTTACTGCATTTGCTAAATTTTGTAAGTCAGTTTTGCATTTGCCTTGATTGTACAGTCATTATTGGGGGTTCTTTTATCTGGTACCCCCTAATGAAAACCATTAACAACAAGAGATATTGCCTCCGAGGTTTTTGTGTTCATTATTCAGATTCCTTTTGAGTCGACCCTAACCTAGATGTAATGCATTGAGTGTTGTTTGCCTAAGTGAGACTTGTTGAATGAGAATGGAAATATTTGGTGGTAATTACTTTAATGAAATTGCCTAAGTGTTGTTACAGGATGAGAGCTATGCTCGTGGTGGCCCGTCTTCCTGGCACTCTTTGCCGTATAACGCTTTGAAACTACTGACTGTTTTGGCCTCCACCTCACTTGTTCAAACCGTCTACCACTCTATTTTGAAAAAAAAAAGCTTTACAATATTTTTTTTGCATCTTTGTTTCCTTAGCTTGAATGTGTGTCCTCTTGCTCTTAAAGCTACTGGTTTCAGGAATTCCTCTGTCAATTTGGTCGATTCCAGTTATTATTCTGTAAGTGGTGACCATATCTTCTATCTTTCAGCTTTGGCATATGTAATGCCTTAGCCTCTCCTTGTAACTCTTGTTTTTCAGTTCCAGAAGCCATTTTGTCGCATGCCTTTGCACCTTTTCCAGTTTATTGTGTGCTTCTTGAGGTTTGGGCACCATACAACTGCAGCATATTCCAGTTTTGGTCTCAAAAATCATGAACAGTCTCCTTAGTATGTTACCATCCATGTAGTTTAAAGCAAGTCTGAAGTTGGAAAGCGACACATATGCTCCCCCTCACAATGTTCCTTATGTGTTCTTCTGGTGACAGTTTACTGTCCAAAACCACTCCCTAGGTCTTGTTCTTTATTAGAGTTCTTTCCTTTCCACATAATATAAGTTGTGTATAGCCTATTTTCTCCGATGCCACATTCCATAACATGACACTTATTCATGAATACACCATGAATTTTGTGCCTGTACTTGGTTCTGCTCATAAGGAAGGTGGAACCCAGCAACTTGTTCCTGGCTTTTGTTTGTAAGGCATTCAGAAATTAAATATTTTATATGGCTGTCATTGCCCTCCCTTACTCATCAGTGCTTATCTGTCATATACTACAAGGGAGTTAGATTTATCTCCTTGAATCTCACCACCTTGCCATTTATACCTGGCATGCTAATTACATCTCTTGATCAAGTTTCTATCATATTTTTTCTTGAAGTTGAGGGTGTAAGTGACTTGGACAACTAGTACTATCAGGGTATTACACATTCTGACCACCCTTGCAGGGCGAGAGAATTTCCTTATATTTTTACAACTCGATAGTATATGCAGGTTACATTGATGTCCCCTTATCCTACCTCCTTTCAATTTAAATAGGTTGCCTTTGTCCACATTTCTTCCTCTCAGTATCTTGTATGTAATGATCACATTTCCTTTGTTTCTTAGACTCTTCTAAGGTTGTCAGGTTGAGCCTGTCTTACCCCTTACCTGTTCTCACAGGTGAGTCCTCCTAATTGTGAAATTAATCTAGTTGCAAACCTCTGTAAACCTTTGTGTTTCATAAGGTTTCATACCAGTGATGCATATTTCAGTACAGTAATGGTCTCGTGTAAGCTCTGTAGTATCTCCTTGTTTAGTGTCTTAAAATTTGTTTTTATTTGCTTGACCCCCATGTGCTGCTGACATTATCCTGTTCACATAAGCTTCATTTTCTCATATTGTTTGTTTCATGTAGTAGCCTTTTTCTTATGGTGTAGTTTCCTGCAAGTCTCCTGTCGCCTTTCCCATCTTTATTATCTTGTATTTATTTAGATTGAATTCTAGCACACTGTGAGGCTATGTTTATTCATCTTTGTAAAGGTGCTCTGTCATTTTTTTTTTTTTCAGAATAATTAATTAATTTTTTCTAGATTACTGTTGTTGTTTTTAATGCCTTATATTCTTGCCTTGTGCAGTCATTGCTGACTGGTGTATCAGACATATTTCAGTAACCAGCCTATCCAGTTTTAGCTACTGCTTTTGGAGTCCTGGAATCAGGAGTTGGGTTTTTAAATCTTGGTTTCAGTGTTTTAGTGCAGGTAGCACCTTTTTTTTTTATATCCCCTGAAGTTCTCATCATTTAGGTACTTCATTGGTGTACTGCTTAATTTTTATTGACCTTTTTTTTTTTTACTATTGTTGGTCTTTTTTGCAGCCTATTCCTTCCTCTTACCCTGCTTATCTGTTGGTTGATGGGTTGTGGGTTATCTTGAGGTTATCTTAAGATGATTTCGCAGTTTAGCGTCCCCGCAGCCCGGTCCTCGACCAGGCATCCTTTTTGTTACACATCCCCAGGAAGCAGCCCGTAGCAGCTGTCTAACTACCATATACGTATTTACTGCTAGGTAACAGGGGTATCAAGGTGAAAGAAACATTTTGCCCATTTGTCTCCGCCTTTACCGGGGATTGAATCCAGAACCTCAGGACTATGAATCCGAAGCGCTGTCCACCCAGCTGTCAGGCTGTTAAGTCATTGAGGTATCGTACTTTTTTCTGCGTTTATGGTTATGGGTTGAGCTTCTTTGCTTATTTGACCTCGATGGCTACTCCTGAGGTGCTTTCTGGGTTCTGTGTCCTGTTTGCCCATTGGTCTGCTGTTGGCTGCAGGCAAGTGTTCATTTCTTGACTTCTCTTCAGAGGGAGAATGGCACCATGAGTTTTCCACAATTTATTCCAGAAAAAGTTTGTCTGGGGCTTGTTTGGGTCTTCATTTGGGGTTCCAGGCTGTATGTTGTATTTTTAGTTAATATGTGCCCAGGAAACCTGTAGTATGAACTTGGCTCTCTGCCAAACCAATACAAATCTTGTAGAAGAGTTAAGGTGTTCTTACCACTTTGTCATGTAATGGCTGTGGTTGAGGCCTTTGCTTTTCTTCCAACTTTTGCCATGATTGAAGCTGGTTTGAAGATTTGGTTTAGTTTGATTATTGCCCCCCCCCCCCCTCCCAAAACAAAAAAAATAAGTGAGGTGAAGTGTTCTCTGGCCACTATTTGATGCTTTAGTGGAGAATTCACCTCTACTGGATTGATATCAGGTCTCCATGTGTTTTCTGCCCTATAGAATAGGTGGGGCAAGAGAAGGTTGCAAAGACCTTTATCTCCGGTGAATTAAGATCATCGTATAAACCTAGCATATCCAGTATGCCTCTCATGTACCAGTGATAAAAGCTGAGGGCTAGCTACTGAGATGTCCCCAGAAAAGGGCATTTCATTACACTGTTTTTGTAATACCATTAGATTGCCCTGAGCCAGCCTGTCACATTTATAGACACATTTGTTTTATCTTGATAATTAAAAGTATAGTTGTAATAAATTTTCCTGCCTATACTAAAATTATTAATGAGAATTTGTTCAAGTACCAGTGATTAAATATATTAGGTATCTACTTTACATATATTTTGATTAAATTTGTACAGCCATTTTCAGCCAATTTTCAGTTTAGTGTGTGTGACAGTGTCATAATGAGAGAGTGAAGTGAGAGTGAGGTAATGGGAGAGAGATTGTGTGTGTGTGTGTATGTGTATATGTGATAAAGAGGGTGAAAGGATGTGGATGTATGTGGGGGTATTCGCTTAGACTATATGTGTGTGTCTACTCATCTATTGTACTCACTTGATTGTGTATGTGTGCATGTGCATGTGAGTATGTAAGTATGGGTTTTGTGACTGAATTTCTGCATGCATTCAATTATATCTACACCTGTATGCATTTAAATATTTGTCTGAACACATGTATATGTAAATAATTTATGTATATAAATATTTATGTAATTAAGTACTAATTTCTTATTTGCATAAATGTTATTTATACATCAAGGCTGATAAAATCATGTGTATAAATTATTTAAACTGTTGTGAATGGGTATTCAGTCCATTTTGCAGTGTTGCATATTGTGGTGGCTGCATGTAGTAAGGTATAACTATTGCTGCATGGTGGATGTTTTGTTATGTTTCTAGCTCTCTGAGTGCCACCCGAGAGAGACTCAAGGCGCGGTCATGCCCAGCTCTCAGTCAGTTGGAGGAGGAGGAAGGGAGGGACGGAGGAGGTGGGGTGCGGGTGTATCCCCGACCCCAGTCCCACTCTGGGGGTATTGCCTCCTCCGCAACCTTGTCCTCGTCCTCAGCCCTCGTTTCTTCTCAGCGCCTCTCATCCTCGGACATTAACCTACCTTTAATACAAAATCATCCTGATTCATCCCTTCCATCAGTGCTACTCTCAATACCAAATATACAGCCAGTAACCATAGCTCCAACATTTGTACTCTCAGTTACAACTCAATCATCATGTACAGTTTCATCTGCCATTATGTCCACAATCACTTCTACCTCTCCTGTATCTACTTTCTCTGCATCACCACCTACTGAAGCAATTAATTTAATAACCCCAGTCACAACAGCAACAACCACCATTGCAATGCCAACATTATCATTTGAAACCCACACTACCATTACAAGTACCACACCACATAAACCTGTAGGGCGTTCTTTTTCTTCTCCTGTTTCATCCGTTGTACCCATTCCTAATTCTAGTTCCTTGCATACTTCAATACCCCCATCCGAACCCCCCTCCTCCTCCTCCCCCACCGCCATCACCACCACTACCACCACAACTGCTGACCTGGCCTCTCTCTCTACTAACCAAACTACTAACAACAAGGACCCCCGACTACTGGCACGGTCCGCATCACTCAGAGAACGCATTCAGAGGTATGGTCTGCATCCTTGCTTCACAGTACAGTATATTTATTTCTTGGCTTAAAATTTAAATGAAAGTTCCATGTAATTGCTTGGTAGTGTATGGTTAAAGATTTTCTCCAAATGTAGATTGTTCCTTGGTTAGTTAAATTGAATACATGAATGATTTGCAAGCAGATAAATTGCATTATCTGACAACTGATATTAGTGACCAAGTAATCTACTGTACAACTATGAGAGAACTTGTATTTATCTATCTGTGTTGTTTCTTCTAATAAATGCTTCACATTACTTCCAAGCATTCCTTATCATTTCTTCGACAAAAATGTTCACGAAGACTGGGGTTAGTCAGATGTGTATTAGATTTTATTGTAAATATTATATATTTGTAAGTGTTACTTTTTTTATTTCTATTGTATTCAAATTGAAACATACTGTACATTTACTTGAAGTATGTGATAAGGTCTTGCTTGTAATTTACCTTAACATCTACTGCTAATGTTGCCATTTATATATTGCTTTCTTATTTTACTAATACTGAGGTGCCTTAGTTTTATATTCAAAAATATATACTGCTGTATTTTAGATTTTACTAATCTCACTAACGTTGAGATACTTTACAAAAGTTGTTGTACTGTATATACATTTATTCTGCCAGTTAAGATGTAACTCCATTTCTAGATATTTTTAAGTTCTCTTGTGTGCAGTTATTATAACTGAAATTGTGTTAGAAGAGTTCATTTTCCTTTTAAAATTATCCTTTAATTTTGCATAATAAAACATACTTGGTTGTAATTTAATTAAATAAGTTTCTGAATTATAGTTGATCTTGTGATAGGGAAGTTTATAAATTTGTTTGACATAATTGCCCTTCAGTTCTCAATTAAAAATGTTGTCAGACAATTTATTACTGTAGTATCAAAATTTTCTCCTCTCCGAAGCTTCAATAAAGAAATGGTAGTTTCAGTGAAATTTGGAAAAGTGCATACCAGGAAATGTAATGTTCGTAAATGGAAGACTGAGCGCTGTGTGTATGTTGTGGCCTTGAAGATTCCACAAATTAATCTAGATATATGGTCACGCAAGGGAAAAATGTTTCGTTAATTTAATTTATGGCCTACTGTATATGTTAAAAATAAAAAGATGCATTTGTACACTTATATTCAAATTAGGAATGAATGTAATGAATGCAAGCAGTACAGTACATACATATTAGTCAGTGTAGCAGCTAGAATAATAAATGCAAGACACAAAAGGATATAACAGAATTTAGTAAGTGATAAATGAGTTGGGTTCCTAGTGGAGAAGGGTGTCTGGATAAAATATTTTGATCAAAACAACTTGTGGAGTAGGTATGAGAGAATATTATATGATGTATAATGGTATATTGAGTGACTGGTTTGATATTGATGTAGGTGTGTGTCAGGTTTTGTGGTGACTAAAATTATTATGGATGCAGACGATGAGTCACAATAATGTGGCTGAAGATATGATGACCAAACTACACACCAGAAGATGTGGAGACGATTCCATTTGGGTTCATCCTGGACCATTATCAAGTTGAAACTTAGGAGTCTCTTCATCTTCTGATGTGTAGTTTGGTCATCATTAGCATGGATGTGTGAAATGAAGTAGCAGTCAAACCCAGCAAGCAAATAACTGAGGGGTAATGTTGGATCATCGTCACTAACATTCTCCAATATTTCATCAACATTATTCCAGTGTCATTTAAGGTTTATACTTTTTTTTTTTTTAAGACTTCCTGTAAGTAAGAATACTATAAGTAACATGTAAATTGTGGGACTGGGCCTAATTTTGTACTGTAAGGAGATGATAGTTCTTTTTTTCAATGTATGAAAGAGATTTATGTATGCTAATTAATAATGTTATGGATGCAAATATGCATGAGAAAATGAATGTGGGTAAATGGAAAATTGTGGTGGTGATGAGATGAAAGAAAGGAATTCTGTTTGAAATAAATGTAAATGGTACAGTACAGTACTAGAAATGGTTGATCAATGTAAATACCCAAGATGTAGGATAAGAGAAACTTGTGTAATCAGCGATGTTAGTTAGGAAAATTGGGGAAAGAAAGTGGCTAGTGCAATGAAAGCCCTGTTCAGAAAAGCTAGGTAGGAATATGTAGAGCTGTACAAAGAAGTTGTAGTGCTGACTTATAAGCTTAAGTGCAGTTGTGAGATGGTGTGTGAATCAAATATTAGAGCTGTAGAAATGGATAATCTGAAACATGTATGATATTAGGACAATAGAGTATGGAATGTAAATGACATGGGAAGTTGTGTTATGTGAAAGTACTATAAATAAACTACAAAGTTGAACTGAGGTTACTAAGGTGATTTTGGAAAGTGTGTGCATTCTAATGAACTTGACAACATGAGGGGAGAGGAAGGCTTGGGTGAAGGTAGATGGATTCGGGTTATGTATTGTGAAGTAGGGAGTGTGCGCTGTGCATGGTATATGCTTAAGTACGAAAGTACTTTAGTACGAAAATATGCAAAAATTAAAACTGGTTCAATTTCAATCAAACTTTTTTGACTAGTTGTATATGAAATTGGGTTCATCTGGCCAAAGTCTCAGCATTGTAGCATAAATAGGAAGGGAGAAAAAAATATTGAATTATGTGTCAAAAATATTCCAAAATGGTAAAAAATTAACATCAAACACAAATGTTAACTGAAATCATGTCTATGACTCTTAAGTTATCACAATAGCATATAATAAAGTATTTTAATATTTAATTTTATGCCCCAAAAAATTCTCCCCCTTCCCCCTCCCCCCTCCTCCAAAAAAAAGGTGATTTTTTTCTCAATTTTTTGTTAATGTTTTTTAGCAGCCGATTTGCATGAAACTTATACGCCTTACAGAACGTATGTCTATCTGTAAAGATGCAAATTTTGGAGGAAATTGGTTAAAGTCAACTCAACCACAGTTAGCAGTGTGTTTGATCTTATTTATTTTCAAGTAACATAAAATTACATCTCCTCTTTTATTTTATTTTTTAATTTACATGAAATTTACACCTTATATGTAGAGTGGACGTCTCTACAACATTTATAAAACACCTTATTTCTAAGTTCATTTATTGATTTTATAAATATTTGCAAACGTGAAATATTGGCATGTATTTTAGGGGAACAATGACTACTTGTATTAGTAAAACTAAGCATATTTTGGATAATTCTTTTTATAAAAATCCTTTATTATATGCTAATATGATATATGAGTGTCATAGAAATGATGTCATTTGAAACTTGTGGTTGTGGTTAATTATTGAAAATGTGTGAAATTTGTTGAAAAAAAAAAATCTCCCCCCCTTTCTATTTATGGTGTGATACTGAAATGTAGAAAACTTGCAGTCCTTCTTATATACAACTAGTAAAAAAAAGTTAGGTTGACATTAAAGAACATTTTCAAATTGCGTAATACGCCCCCAATATATGACAAGGCTGAATGTAAGGGTTTGTGCAGAGGGAATAAATGTAAAGTATATATAGCATACTGTGCTTGGCACTTCTCAAGAATTGTGTGCAAGGTCTTGTGAAGCAGAAGAGTGCTGCTGTGGATGGCCACTGGAGTGTGGTGTTTGTTTATCCTTGATACTTCATAGTATGAATGATACAATAACGGGTAAAGTGATACTTTACTTTTTTTTAGTACAGTATCAGTAATCTTTCATAATATTAATCTCCTTGTTTCCCTACCTTATGAATGTATGAAACAGGGCACTGGTAATGTATGTATGTACAGTATGTGAACATTTATAAACATAAAGAAAACATAAGATAGTAAATAGAGAAGACTTTTTGATGAATAATGATCATGTATAGAGTTGAAAAATATTTTTAACTATGGGTATTTTAATTTTTGTTAAGTTGTAGATGTATATACGAAAGTATTGAAAAAATCATATAGTACCTATACTTTACATTTGTGTTGGCCTGGACATTGACGTATTAGAATCTGGGGATTTTTTAATTTATTTATTTATATTTAGAAATAATAATTCTGGAGGAAAATTTTGACTAATATGCAATACAGAAGAGTCACTTATTCATTATCCATACTTGGAAAATGGTTGGTGGGTGCCATATTTTCCATCATGTGAAGACGTACTTGGTGGTGAGGAAGGTGGAACGGTGGTGTGTTTACCAGTGGTCCGCACTGCCCCTACTCTTTGGCACACCAGCATGTTATGTTTGCCTGTTTTGGCTTCATGTTCCTTCTCACTGACTGACTTGGATATTCTTTGCTGTTTCTCACTTACCACATCCATAAAGAGTAGCAGGTTCACAGTGCAGGGAGTAGCAGATGAAGTGGGAAGTTGTCAGCAGGTGTGAAGAGTGACAGCAGTGGGAAGCAAGAGTTCTTGCTTCACAATGCTATGCACCATTTGTTGCTTCAGTCCAAACACATGGGTCGCACCATGTGTTGCTTCAGTCCAAACACATGGGTTGCACCATGTGTTGCTTCAGTCCAAACACATGGGTCGCACCATGTGTTGCTTCAGTCCAAACACATGGGTTGCACCATGTGTTGCTTCAGTCCAAACACATGGGTCGCACCATGTGTTGCTTTAGTGCAAACACATGGGTCGTATCATGATACTAGTAGTCATGTGGATGTTTTGCTTCATTTACATAGGTATAGTGGCTTGAGATGTAAAAATGTGGCCTTGGAAGGCTGTTCATAACAGCAGGTGTTTGTAAAGCACTCGTTCATCAAGCTATATCCATATGGCTACTTTTTAAGTAACATTTCAACATACACCAACACAATGCATAAATTATATATGCTGGTACCATTCTTTATTCATCTATACTCTAGAGCTGAGATTTTAAACCTTCATCTCTCAGCACGTTGAACAAGGTGCTGAAATCAAGACTTTTTTTTAAGAGACATTATATATGAAAATGGATACTGTTTTGAGATTGAGATTAAAAATTTAATAGCTGAAATTTTAATCAGTTATTTTTTTAAATGATATTCAGCAA